GGGCCCCCCAGGCAGGAAGCAGCTCTGTCCCCGTCCGTTGTCCGCAGCCCGAGGGCAGAGCAACCCGAGGGAGCTGCTGCCGATAGCCCGCGGGCGCCTGGATGGCCTGGGAGACTCCGAGAAGCCAGGCTCTGCTTCCAGGATCCTCACCGGGGAACTGGCAGGGTCTTTGTGTCCTTTGGATCAATACCTTTGTTTTATTTTATTAAAAAGATTAAAATTTTTTTTTATTGATTTCAGAGAGGAAGGGAGAGGGAGAGAGAAACATCAGTGATGAGAGAGAGTCATGGACCGGCTGCCTCCTGCATGCCCCCACACTGGGGCTCGAGCCCGCAGCCCGGGCATGTGCCCTGACCGGGAATCGAACCCTGACCTCCTGGTTCACAGGTCGACGCTCAACCATGAGCCACGCCGGCCGGCAATGCCTTTATTTTATCAGGCAGCTGGGGTCTGAGGCACGTGGTCCCCCAGGAAAGACCATCTCACCTCCCACATCTTCAAAGGAGGGAGATTGGAAACTGCCCAGCATTGGACAGGAAGTTCCCTCGGCGGAAAGGACACCATCCCCCGCGTCCCACAGCGAGGGCAGGACGGTGCTCACAGCACCAGCTGGGAGGAGGAACAAAAGGTTCCCCCTCTTCAGGGAGAACAGAAGCTCCCCTGCACCTGCTGGAGCACCTGTGTGTGCGTGTGTGCGTGTGTGTGCGCGGGTGTGCGTGTGCGTGTGTGCGTGCGTGTGTGTGCGTGCGTGTGCCGCACCAGCTCGGAGGAGGAACAAAAGGTCCCCCCTCTCCAGGGAGAACAGAAGCTCCCCCGCACCTGCTGGAGCACCTGCGTGTGCGTGTGTGCGTGTGTGTGTGTGCATGCGTGTGGGTGTGTGCAGGTGTGTGTGCGTGTGTGTGCGGGTGTGTGCGGGTGTGTGTGTGTGCGGGTGTGTGTGTGCGTGTGTGCGGGGGGCGGTGTCTTCACAGGAGAACCCGCTCCCCCCCCAGCAAGGTCTCAGGAAAAGAGCCTCCCCCCATGTTTTCCATCACAGACAAGGCTGAGCCAAACCAGACGTGCATGAGTGGATTCACATTTAAAATAGACACATGTGGTAACCTCACCTTTTCTATAAAAAGGCCAGACTGTGAACGGTGTGATTAAAAATATATAACCCGTTTAAGTCTAAACCAACCTTTCAAAGTATCATTGAACAGAAAAAAGCTTCCATAAAAGCCCTAACAAGGCTCTAGCCGGCTTGGCTCAGGGGTTGAGCGTCGGCCTGTGGACTGAGGGGTCCCGGGTGCAAATCCAGTCCAGGGCACATGCCCGGCTGTGGGCTCGATCCCCCGTGTGGGGCGTGCAGGAGGCGGCTGACCAGTGATTCTCTCTCATCATGGATGTCTCTATCTCTCTCCCCTCTCCCTTCCTCTCTGAAATCAATAAAAAAAAGTCTATTTAATAAAAGCCCTACTGTGACGTCACTGGGTGAGGAAGGCAGCCCGTTGTCCGAGGTGAGGGAGCCACGGGCAGGAGTCGCGTGGGAGCCCTGAGGCTGCGCAGGAGGGAGGTCTGACGGGCTCTCACCCACTGCCCTTCCCCAGAGAACCCGGAGCAGAGGCCAGAACTCCGAGAGCTCAGCGCCGCGCGCCCAGCTCAGGGTCAGGAAAGGCTCTCTGCCCTCGCTCTGCCCTCATGCTGCCCCCTTCTCTCCCCTGCACCGCGGGGTGTCCTTCTCTAAGCTTTGTTAACACTCACGGGGAAGAACGGCAAGAACATGAAAGCAAAGCTGGGCAGCACCCAGACAAAGCAAGGGAAGGCATGAAATCAGCAAATTTAAAGGATGAATCCCAGGAACGAGCGATTCCTTTATCACACTCAGTAAACGGCAGGAGCTCCTGCAGCCAGAGGAGGGAGGACGGAAACTTCCAGAGCCTACGGGTCCCGAGTGGTGCAGCAGCCCACGGACGGGACGCAGGGAGCTAAGAGGAGCCCACTGAATGTGGGGCGGTCAGGCTGGCCTGGGACCGAGCTTCTACGCCGGGAGAGGGCGGGGATCCAAGGCCTGATCTTCAATGTCCGTGGAGTGAGGACGAGAACCAAGACCTGAGGACACCTGTCCGTTCCCCAGGGGTCTGCCCGGAAGACCAGCCTCCTGAGGTGCCCTCGCTCCTCCTCCTTCTCACGTCTCGGCAGAACCGGAGCTTCGGGGCGCGTCCCGCTGGGGACGCTGGGACGTCCCGGGCAGGTGGTCAGCTGCCGGGAGTAAACCCAGGGGCCCCTGGAGGTGGGGGGGCTGCGTGTGAGCAGCCACACGGTTCTAAGGTCCCTGACTCTCCGACCGCGCAAGTGGCCGTGATGCCAACGGGGAGAGATGCCCACGGGACCAGAAACGTGGACTCAGAACCTCCGCCCAAGCCCAGAGCGGTCACGTGACAGCTCCCCCGCTGCCCTCTGCACCCTCTGGCCTCACACACACCCGAGCCAGGACCTGTGTGTGACGCTGCCTGGTCCTGGTTCCGAATCCCTTATCTCTCCCGCCCGCCAGCCCACTCGCCAGGCGTCCTGGGCAGATGGTACCCTTACTGACCCCCCAGCGTCCGAGGAGATCGCAGTCAGCACATCCTTACGGATTAGAGCGGAGGCTGGGGCTGTGTTTTCTTCTCGTGTAGGTGGTGTGTGTGTGTGTGTGTGTAAGTGGTGTGTTTGTGTGTAGAGGGGTGGGGGCCTGACTTTTGAAACTGATTGAATGAGAGCTATCATACCATTTTGATGTGTTAAACACCCCAAACCATTCTCCCTTAATCTGGTCATCTCTCAACATCTAGGGTGTTACAACTTTTAAAAACATTTCTCAGTCTGAGGGTCATGCTCTTTCTTAGGTGCAAAGTGTTCCATGTGCCAACGTCTCCCAAGCTGCCCTTCTGAATGGTCCTCAGACACCGACAGGCGACCCCTCTTGACCCAGCTCTCCTGGATGGGGTGCGGGGGGAGGGACCAGGTCGGATCACAGAACCAGGACACACAGCGTGCCTCCCGTGCACACGGAACACGGGGTCGAGGCTTCTTATGAATGGTTTGCACGTCAGCAGCTTCCATGTGATGGAAGTTTCACGTTAACCCCTTCCTGGATGCACGTGCATGGAGCTGGTTTAAAGAAAGAGAGAAGCTTGCTCCTCCGCGTTCCTGGATTTAGAGGATTCTAGAAGAGTCCGTCCCAGCCCCATGGCAAGGGCTGCCTCGGACGGAGGGGATGCCGCCTCTGAGACACGGGGTGCTCCTGTCACAGACGCGTGTCTGCTGTCACGGACGCGTGTCTGCGGTCACAGACGTGTGTCTGCGGTCACAGATGTGTGTCTGCGGTCACGGATGCGTGTCTGCGGTCACAGATGTGTGTCTGCGGTCACGGACGTGTGTCTGCGGTCACAGATGCGTGTCTGCGGTCACGGACGTGTGTCTGCGGTCACAGATGCGTGTCTGGGGCGTGCTTACCAGGGTGGTGAAGAGGTAGTGGTAGTGCTCCGTCATCATGCCCATGAACAGGATCTGCAAAAGGGAAGCAGAGGAAGGATCAGAGACAGGTGGTCACGGGGCACCAAGACTGCGAGGCGACTCCGACAGCTGGGAAACGGGACGGGAAGGAGCGTTGAGAGTCCAGCAGACGAGGAACCGAGGGACCCATGGCTGACGCGGAGCCAACACCCGAGCCACTGACTCCATCCGAGGCCTGGTCACGGCACCGTGTGTGACTCGGAACGAAGTGATTGGACTCAGGATCACATTTAAAAATAGTTTGTGCAGCCCTGGCTGGTATTGCCCAGTGGATAGAGCATCGGCCTGCAGACCCAAGGGTCCTGGGTTCGATTCCGGTCAAGGGCACGTTCCTCGGTTGCAGGCTCCTCCCCTGCCCCGGCCCTGGTCAGGGCGTGTGCAGGAGGCAACCCATCGATGTGTCTCTCTCACATGGATGTTTCTCTCTGTCTTTCCCTCTCCCTTCCACTCTCTCTAAAATCAATGGAAAAATGCTCTTGGGTGAGGATTAAAGAAATCAACTTCCTGCTTGGACTTGTCTGTAACGGCACAGGGTGGCCTCCGTGCGACCCGGTTTCTGAGTGACCCCAGGTGTGGATACACGCCCGACGGGTCCTCGTAGCTGACGTGCTTGTCATCAGGCCCGAGTGGGGCTCCCACACGCTGAGTTAGCCATGCAGGTGTGCAGACGCCTTAGGTGAGGGCTGGAGGCCCCGCCTCTCTGAGACCCCCCCCCCCCGCTGCTCCCACAGAAGGAGAAGAGGACTTGGGGCGCAGATGGAAGGAGGGGGTGTCCTCACACAAGTCTCCCACGGCCTCTCCAGCCCGACCTCAGCGACCTATTGGCGTCTTGTGGCTTCAGACGTGCCGTGCGTCTCCTTTGTGTTTGGCGAGGAAGGGAAGAGGGAGGAGGCGCGAAGGACAGGGTCCGCGGTAGACGTGGTGGTTTGTTACGCTGCGGCCCTCCCTTGGGATTTCTGGAAATGTGTCCCCTGAGAAGCAAAAGCGGCTCATGGTCTGGAGATGAATGTTGTTGCTCAATCTCTGAAACCGGAACCATCACCTTCCTCGGGCAGGTCCCCCGAAAGCACCGCTTGAGGGCTGTGTGCTGGTCTTTGTACGGAAGTGAACGGGAAGCCTCAGAAAGCCCTCCCCCAGGCAGTTCCCCTAACTCGGACGCGTCCCGGACGCCGTGAGAATCGGCCCGGCAGCTGTGCGGTCAGAGGCTCCGAGATGCCACCCCAGGGAACCCCGAGTCCCTAGGATCTCTGAGGTGGAGCCGGGTTGGTACAGCCCTTTGCAGCCGCGTGGAGAGCCGCTGCTCCATGGGAACATGGATGTTTGCGTGAAGAACAAAGACGGCCATGGCTTCCAGTGAAAGACGCACCGAAGGGTCCGGGCAGAGGCCACCTCGCCGCGGGAGTCCTGGGAGGTGCCTGCGATACGATCAGATGGTTCGGCAGGAGAGGGGGCGACGCATGAAGAGGGGGTGCGGTGATAGCACACCCACCATGGCCCCTGCCCTCGGCTACCGCGGACACCGAGGGGCACCCGCTGAAGGTAACGCCATGAAGACAAGACAGATGACAGGAGACGCTCCCCATGAATCATGAGCCCGCGGCGTGGAAGTCACTCCTGCGGTGATAACAAGCCCGGCTCACGGGGTTTCAAAGGGTAGAGCTGCTCCAGGGCCATCAATAACCCAGCGCCACGCGCGGCGAGGCCTCGTTAGCCGGTCCCTGATCTTGGCGGAGCATCAGAGCGAGCCTGCTGGGCCGGCCAGGAGCCCAATTTCTCACTCAGTCATTAGACAGTGCAATTGTCGAGACCAGCTCTTGAAAGGGAAATGGACAAGTTTTATGTTAAGACGTGGAGCTGGGCACGGAGCTTTAAAATATTCTTCCTGGAATTGAGAGCGAAACACAAAGGCACCGAGCTTTCGGCTGTACGCCAGGGCTGGTGTTTCTTTTTAAACTTCATTTTGGAGGTGTTTCATCACCCATGGAGGGCCTAGGCCTTTAAAAAAAACTGATATTGTAGCCCTGGCCGGTGTAGCTCAGTGGATAGAGCATCGGCCTGCGGACCAAAGGGTCCCAGGTTCGATTCCAGTCAAGGGCATGCACCTTGGTTGCAGGGTCCTCCTCGGCCTGGGCCTTGGTCAGGGCTCGTGCAGGAGGCAACCCACCGATGTGTTTATCTTTCCCTCTCTCTCCCACTCTCCCTAAAAATCAGTGGAGAAATACCCTCGGGTGAGGATTAACAACAACAACAAACTGATGTTGTCATAGTTTCACACAAAATGAAAAGATCTAAAATATGACCTCACAAACATGAAGGTGGGAGGGGAGTAAGAATGTAGTTGTACGTACATGCCTATCGGCCTCACCGGGCTGCTGTCGACACGGAGTGGTACACGTTACCCTATGGGAGCCACAAACCAAAACCTACGAAAGACACACAGAAAATGAAGAGAAAGGGACCCAGCAAAACACTGAGGAAAACCACAAACCACAAAGGCAATCAGTAGAGGAAAGGAACAGAGAAAAACTACAAAGACAATGAACAAAACGGCCACAAGCACATACTTATCAGTAGTCACTTTAAATGTAAATGAATTAAATGCTCCAGTAAAAAGACAAGGGGTGGATGAATGGACTAAGGAACAGGACTGGTCTATGTGCTTCTTGTAAGAGCCTCACTTGAAATCTAAGGACACACACGGGCGGAAAGCGAAGGGATGGACAAAGATACTGCATGCAGATAGAAATGAAAAGCTGGCTTAGCAATCCTCATATCAGACAAAATAGACTTTAAAACAAAGAATGCAAAAAAAGGCATTACATACCGATAAAGGGGTCAGCCCCAGAAAAGGCCGTGCCATCATAAATATCTATGCACCCAGTATATGGACACCTCAGTATAAGAAGTAATTATTAATAGACGCAAATACAGACATTGACAGTCATCCCGTAATAGTAGGGGTCGTTCTGCCCACTCACGTCAATGGATAAATCATCCGGACAGAAAATTAATAATAAGATAACGGCTTTAAATGTCATATTAGACATTTATAGAAAAGTTCATTCAGAAACTGGATAAAGTTCTATTTCAGGCGCACAAGCCTCAATACATTCAAGAAGATTGAAATCCATCAAGCACCCTTTGCGACCACAGTGGCGTGAAACTAGAAATCAACAGCGGGAAGAAAGCGGGAAAGACACGCGCACACGTGGAGACCAACACCAGGCGAGGAGGCAACCAGCCGGTCCAACAGGAAGTCAAGCAGGAAAGAAAAAATGACCCCGAGACAAATAATGAGAAACACAACTTCCCCAAACTTCTGGGACACAACTAAGTCAGTTCTAAGAGGAGGCTCGTAGCCACACAGGTTCGAGAAACAATAAAAAGCTCAAATAAACAACCCACCTTCCCACCAAGGGAACTGGGAAGAGAAGAACGAACAGCAGGCAGGACTAATAAAGATCGGAGCGGCTGTGAACGCCACGGAGATGAAAACACCCCAGAGGAAACCGTAATGAAACTGGGGGCTTGTTCTTTGAAAAGATACAAAACTGACAAACCTTCAGGCAAACTCTCCAGGAAAGAAAGCGCTCAAGTCACTGAAGTCATAAGTGAACGAGGCTACAGCCGACACCAGAGAAATACACAGGGTCGTTGGAGAATACTGTCCATGGCTACCTCCCCACCGAGGGGCAGCCTGGGGGTACAGATACGCGTCCAGCAGCGCACGACCTGCCAGGACCGAACAGGAAGAAACGGCAAACCTAAACAGACCAATTCCTAGCAACGACACGGAAGCAGGAATCCAAACACTCACCGCGAACAAAAGCCAGAGGGTGTCACAGGTGAATAAGACGTGAGATGCTTTTTTTTTTTTAAAAAAGCAACCATTCAACTTATTATTTTTATGAGTATTTTATTGTCATACCTGGAGGCCAATATCCATTCGATATGCCCCTTATTCAACGTTAAGAAAGAGCTACGAAGATGCACAAATAAGCAGCTAATAGGTCTCCTGATTTTTAAAAAATATATTTTTATTGATTTCAGAGAGGAAGGGAGAGGGAGAGAGAGATAGGAACATCAGCGATGAGAGAGAATCATGGACCGGCTGCCTCCTGCACGCCCCACACTGGGATCGAGCCCGCAACCCGGGCCTGTGCCCTGACCGGGAGTCGATGCTCAACCCCTGAGCCACGCCGGCCGGGCTAAGAGATTGTCCTTTAATGGCCTGTCGTCCGAGAGCAGAGCACTTACGGGGGAGCACTGCAGTCGCACGGGGTTTTCCCTCTGTAGGTTGTTGTTTCAGCTACAAGTCACTAAGGGATTAAGGAAACGTCCCATCAGGATAAATGTCAGCTCTCCCAGTAAAAGCACAATCGGGAAACGGAGTTTCCTAAGAGTTCTTTGCAGAACTGACGTTCTCCTCAGAGACACGGCCTCTCTGAAGGTTGATGCTGCGCTTGTCTGCGGCCTGATGGGGGTGCTGACCCAGGCCCTGCACATGTTCAAGGCAGTGCTCTCAGCAAGCAGCGCTGGCTCGATTCAGAGAGAAACATTGATGTGAGAGAAACATCGATGGGTTGCCTCCTGCGCGAGCCCCGACCAGGGCCTGGACCAGGGAGGAGCCTGCAACCAAGGTGCGTGCCCTTGACCAGAATCGAACCCGGGACCCTTGGATCTGCAGGCCGACGCCCTGTCCACGGAGCCACACCGGCCAGGGCTGTGTGAGTTCCTTATGTCTGGACCGGTCAGGGGTTCTTGACCACTGTGAGCTTGGACACTCAGAGCTGAGGGGACCTCGGCATTTAGAGCCCACACCCCTTATCACAGAGGAGGGACCTGCTCAAACCGCACCGTCAGAGCGTCCAGGCAGCTCAGGCCGTGGGCACGTGGGGATCTGGTTTGAAATCGGTTGCAGGACCTGGATCCTTCGTGCTTCTCACCTGGAACCTGGGGCGTCTTGAGAGGATAAACAACGTCACTCCAGGCAA